GACGTCGCGATCGGTTCGTGGGAACCTTTGATCAGCTTTCAACTGTGCGTCACTCTTAGTTAGGCAGTCTTGCGCCCACAAGTAAAGTTCATCACCTGGGCTCTTCTGAAGTCTACCTATGGCCATTCAAACCTGGGCTCTTCTGAAGTCTACCTATGGCCATTCAAACCTGGTTTACATAACCTCTTGCTTGGCCCGCATCCTCTGGAGGGGCAGGAAATGTCAAATCCTTCAAGTCTTTGATGCGGACGACATCCTCCTCTTGGGATGCGAAACTTTTGGTCTGGTGTGCGCTGGCGGAGTCTGGGAGTGTGCCGTGAGCATCACCTACCGCACTGAAAGCAGCACTTGGCGCGCAAAATGCAGCGCCCCCCTGAGTTGCATCTCCACTGTTGGTGTCTAAACCCACTTCGTTCATTGAGAGACGGGGGCATGACAATTCGTCGTGGGAACCACCGCAAACCCTACACTGGCCAGTGGGTTCGGGTTCATCGGCATCATCATCCTCGTTCTCGGAACTTGATGAGGACTCTGAGCTCGCGTCTGATGCAGCCTTAGGGGTGGTGTCGACCATTCCCGCACTAAAACTTAGGGGGATTATGGGAACCGGGTATGCCTTAGCAGCTGCCCTTGCGGCAGTTGGGGCAGGGCAGGGAGCTGAAGCCATTGGAGGAGGAGCCGCGCTTTGTGCCGCGACCAAAGTGCTAAGCTGATGCACCATTGAGGCTAGGGAAGCAATTTGCTGCTTAACATCTGCTATCTCACTTTTCTCATCCTGACTACTGCTCTGCGCGCCAACGGCTGCGCCTTTGGCGGACACAGCACTGTTGCTTGCGGCACCTGCACCTACATCGAATGCGCCAGTAGGGGCTGCGCCCTTTGCGGACGTGGCACTTCCTTTGGCGATCGCTGCTTCGGCACATTGCTCTGAATCGGTAGGGGCAGAACCCCTTTGCGAGTCCCGCACTTCCTGCGATGTCCTGTGTTGGGCCGGTAGGGGCAAGGCTCTTTGCGAGTCCCACACTTCCTGCGGCAACATCACGTGGGGTTGCAACATCCTGGAATGTGACATGCAGGTTGGCAGAGGAAGCACCGGGCTGGGCGCCCGAGTCAACACCAGTTGTATGATGAGGACCCACTTGAGGTGCGGCACTATCTAAACCCTGTTGTGAGGATCTATCAATTCCACTCTGCTGGTTTGCTTGGTCTTGCAATCCACTGGATGAAGCCCCCGTTTGGTTACCCATTGACACATCCTGTCCACCCAAAATGGGGGAGCTCCGGTTATGCGACCCTTTGGGTTGAGGGGTATTAGAATCCGTACCATTATCGGTTTGTGCTTGCGGGGCACTTTGCGGCGAGCGAGTCGGAGGCTGACGGACTTCAAGCAAAAGGGAAACCGTCCTTTCAAGTTCGGCTAACCTAGACGCTTGTTGCAAATCCTTCTCTTGCAGAGCTAGAATGGTGGCATCACGTTCGGCTACGGCACGTTGTGCTTCCTGATAAAGGTATTGGGTCTGAGCTTGGGCCTGGGCCTGTTCAGCATTAGCTCTGTTGCGAACCTCTGCTGCGTACCTTTCAGCTAAAGCCCTAGTCTGACCTACCTCTTCATGGGCCTCGGAAACGACTGTTTGCGCCTGAAGCCTAAGCACCTCGGCCTGTTGCCTGGTTGCCTCCTCTTGCTCCGCAGCGCCAATGGCTTGCTGCCTCGCATTGAGCTCGTGCTCACGTGCATAATTCACGGCCTGTTGAGCTTGGGTTACAAGGTTCATTGCCTGATGCCTAAACTTTGTTGGGCGGCTTCCCGGAGTTCCCCCGCCTCCCTTCGGGCCTGCTCAGCCAGCAGTTGCTGTTGCTGTGCATGTTCAGCGGCCTGAAGCGCGACATCGGAAGCATGGTGGGCACGTTGAACGGCAGCACCCGCAACAAGTGCAGCAGCTGGGAGGTTCTGGGTTGGATCGGGCGTTCCAGCCGGCTCTGATGAGGATGGTTCTGAAACGAACATGCGCCTAACAGGGGTTGCATCGGAATCTGGTGCAGGGCTATTAGGGTTATGCCTAACAACAGACATGGCTGGCACCATTGCACCCGCAAGGTCTGGGTCATCATAGTCTGTGCCATGTGAGGATCTAGACCTATCTTCGGATGGGGGTGTAATGCCAGAGGGATTCATGCCTGAGCCGCACGGATGCGATAGCTTTTCCTGCACACGCGAACCAAGTCAGTGCGCCAAAGGCAGCACTCTCCAAGGCCGGTGATTTGTGCCTGGTGGGATTATGAGATGTGCGCTTACGGCTACACTCAAAACAGATTATTGAATGATGCAGCAACACACTCAGTCACACAAGGATTGATATGCCTCACTAATTGATAATGGGGAATCTCCTTTGAACCTAAACTTCTGATTGCAAATTGGATGCAAATGTGCAGGTTCACCAATGCAGTTGTGTGCAATTGGAAATGTGTGACTTCGTGCGTCTTTGCGCCACAGTTCTTCGGGGCGCCAACGGCTGCCCCCTGCACAGGTTGGGAAAAAGATCCTAGGTGCGCCAACGGCTGCACCCCTGTCGTGAGCACCAGGTGATTTGCTACCTGCGGACCTCCTCAAGGAGCTCTGCAGCAGTAAGTGCACGGGCAGGCTGGATGGTCGCTCGGTCGGCTTGATCCAACCACTGCTCAATAGCAATCAACGCGTCCAGAGTCCCTTGCACCCCCTGGCTGGGGTACGCCCGGAAAGCGTGCGCGCCTGTAAGTCGCGCCTCACGACAGATTGTGGCGTTGTCGTCAAAAAGGATGTGTGCTGCCCAACCGTGCAATAGGTTTGCTTTGCCAGCAACGCCAACCCTGGAGCGCGTGAACTGCGTTGTACCCACGTAGATGCCCTTGTAAGCCAAGTGTACCCTTGCTGTGGCGATCTCCGGTGCCGTAGTTCGTTCGCGCTCGACCCCACAATAGCTGCAAATAATCCAATTGAACGGACCGTGAGCTGTCTGTAGACGAATCAATCCGTTCACGATCTGTGGGTGAAGCCTTCCCCCAGAGCGGATGTTCACGTCGAGCACCCCAGGACGATGTTGAGCGTCTTCCGGTCCGCAAGGGGTGTCCGAGGTGGGGGATCTGGGATCCCGTGGCTTTCCCGCCTTGGTGGAGGAGGCTTCGGTGGCTCTCGCTTTGGCGGTTGTCGCCAAGGTGGGTCTGCAAAGGCTGCTCCCTGCCCTTTTGGTGGCAACCTCAACGATGCCGGCGGCTGCTTGTACCTGATGTGTGGGCCAGGCCGGCTGTTTGCAGGGACAGAAGCCTTTCTGGCTGGCGGTGCCGCTAAGCGTGGGGGCGAAGAAGATCTTGCTTTGCTCAAAACACGTCCGCGACTGCTTGCCAAAAATGCTGCAACTGTTCCCCGCGCCGCTGGCCGCGTCCCGCACTTTACTGTGGCTTTCGTAGCAGGGGCCGGAGGTGAGGCCGGCACTGTAGGTCTATGAAACGGTGCTTCGTATACCCCACCCGCCCGGAATGCTGCTCTGCCTGAAAGCAAATCTTCTGTGTTGTGCACTGTGTCCCCGTCGGAGTAGTCTGCCAGGTGGTAGACCTCCGCGTTCCCGTAGTTTGGGGTCGAGGAACTAGACCTTTCCCCGTAGGCCTCGGGGCGGAGCCACACGTCCGTTGGCAGCTCGTGAGGATCACTGAACTGCGGTAGACGTGAGCGGGCTCGGCCTGCAAATGCCCGTGGAGCGCCGGAGGGCTGCTCCCTCTGCAGTGTCCACGTGCCGGTCCGGTCGATGCGGACCGTCGGATAGGCCGAGCTCCTTGGCGCCAGCACGATCGGCCTGTCGGTTGGCGAGGTCCTTGATGGCACACTCCTCGATCTGCCACGCGAGGATCGACTGGTCGTCGGGCGAGGAGTTCTGCGGGTTCCCGAAGGCTCCCGACTGCTCGACTCGCCTGCCGCGCCGAGGGCTGCGGCCTCCTGGATCGGTGTCGGAGTTCTTGACCGAGAGCGAGACCTAAGCACGATGGGTACTTGGGAATAAACTGCTCGCAGAACTTGCCTTGACACTGACCGTGGGGAGGTCGTAGATGTCCTTCTCCTCGGAGCTGTACCAGTCACCGCGCCTTGGGCTGCGGTCCTCGCTGTAGGCAAAGCCGGAGCAGACAACCAAGCCTCAGCAGGTGAAGCCTGCTGGGCCACGGAAGGCTGCGCCGCCTGCTGCTGCTGAGGTGGTGTAGATGGAGTCGGAGACGAGGGAGTGGCAGGCACTGGATTTGCATCTGCCGCGCCAGTGGCTGCGGCCCTCCGTTCTTCTTCACGGACTGCCCGGATGCGAAGGGCCGTAGGCTGATGCCACCTGTGAAGCTCCTCCCAGCGCTGCTCGGTGACGTCCCGGTTCCAGGCCCGAAGGGCAGCTGCACCTCTGATCCCTGTTCCCACTGCAACTTGGGTGGTGTAAACACCCAAAACGCTGCTGGACCTCGTCGATCACGTCCTCCTGGAGCTCCCACCACACTCGCTTCTTGTTTGCGGCCCCTCCGCGGGTACCACGTTTGTGGTACTCTTCCTCGACGGCCACGCGCGCCCCCTTATGGGGGAACCGCTGAGGGAGGGCCTAGTTAATCCCGAAAGAAAGGCTATACGGCTGATAACCAATCAAAAGAGCAAGAAACCCCAAACGCGCGCCGAAGGCTGCGCCCTGAACAAAAAGAGGTGGATTGACCGTGGTTAATCCCTCAGCGGTTCAGGGGGTTGTCTCTAAACTCTAGTTCCGCACTCAGCGCCCTTTTTCAGTGAGCGCTTGAGCCAAACGGCGTTTGCCGTTTGACAAGTCTGTCATGTCATGCAACCCTCAACCTAAACCAAAGTGGCCTCATGCAAACCTCATGCCAGTGAACACACAACTAGGCAAGTTACCATGCCTTTGGGGGCAAAGGGGTCGTTATTTCTTGACTGAAATCTCCCATATCCGTAGCCAGAATTCCTGGCAACTCCTTAGATTAGCTCCAGGCGCCATTCTCCGGGCTGAAGCTCCTCCATCTTGGTGGTGATCTTGTTCTTGCGGATGAAGTTCCTCGCCCGTGGCCATGGCGGATTATTATGTTTTTAGCTTGGGGGCCCCTGTGTGGGTAGACGACTTAAACGAAAGCTGGTTGCGTTGGCCTCTTGGCTCGTCCGACAGGGGGCTTTGGCTCGGGGAAATAAACAAAAGGAACTCCCGGGCAAGGAGCCCCCGCTGTGCAAAGGCAAGTCCAAGGCAATCAGGTACCCTCCCTTTCTCACAAGCCGTTCAAAATGTCTGACACTTCCCCCGCGTGACACTCCTGAATTTGCAGGGAAGGACAACCACCTTATCAGTCACTAGTGGCTTGGAGTGGCGGGGGGGTTGAACCTCCATCTAGAGAAAAAGAAAGGACGCCCTTTCACCCAGGAACCACCCTTTAATCCAGACCTTTGCTGAGAGCTCTATTGCAAACCAAGTCAGAGGAACCGCACCTCGAGGAATCACTGGGGACTGCGGTGCTTTTCCGGACCGTCTGGTTGAATTTTGGATGCGACGACAAGGTAGATATAGCGTTGGTTGGCGACATGGGGTCTCTTCCATTCAATTGCTCCGCTTGGTTAAGGTAGCACGTCCTGACCCCCCTCTGTCACAGCACGTTCATCAGGTCTCCGAACTTGTGAAAAGTCAAGGCACCCCTGGCATGTCGGTCTTCCTTTCTCACCCTTTTGAGTAGACTGGCCAAATTTTAAGTCTGAAGTTCAGGAACTCAGGGAGAGTTTTTGTTGTCCTAACCCACCAACAAGGATACCCTAGAAAAAACACACGCTGTGCTTCCAATCGCGGTCTGTAGGGTGCACCTCTAGGTTTCACCCATGGATTTTTCCACGGAAGCTCTAAGGCCAGAAAAGCCCCCCCCCCGCCAGCTTTAACATTCCCAAAGACCTCACTGGATTCGGGAGAATCACTGGAATTCCTGGCTAAGTCGATCAATTTGCTGGCGAAATGGGAGAAACCCTGGAACAGCAAATTCATTGGGCGAACAAGAGTTTCGGGACTGGTTTGGGCCAATCCAATAAGAGAAAGGCGGCAAAAGAGGATCCATCGGTTCCTTCCCACTGATGTTGACTCCCTCCAAAGGAAATGGGCATGTCTGTTTGGGTGGACCCCCAAAAATGCACAAACGGCTTCGGTCTTCCATTTGGCTTCCCTTGTATATATGTATGTATGTATAACCAAAAAGGGGGTGCTCTCAAAAAAGACACGCCCAAACATAGGTAGCCTCTTGGACAAATCGATGGTCCTGTTAACTGGCATGCAACCAATCTAGTCCTTTTAACCGGCATGCAACCAATCTAAACCAGCCCAGTTAACTGGAATGCAACCAATGTAAACCACCCCCTATTTCTAGCCAAACCAAACGAAACAAAAACTGCCCATGCACCCAACTGATGGTACCCCGTTTTGGCCCCAAACCCGCCTATTTCTAGCCAAACCTCTCAAAAAAACAGCCATGCACCCAAATGGTACCTGTTTCCAGCCCAGCCACACCAAAAAAAACACCCCAAACAACCCCCCATGGCCCCGGAACCCCTTGGATCCCCGGCACCGTCCCACAAATTCCCCACGTTCCGCTCCCGGGGGCCCCGGCGCCAGGTACTCCTTCGCGGCGGTTTCCGCGCTCCAGGCGTAGCGCACGTCGCCGAAGCCCTGCGCACGGGGCTGGCGTCGGTGGGCTTCGGAGGGGGGGGGAGGAGGGGGGAGGAGGAAGGGGACGGGGCCGAGGGGGGAAGGGAAGGGAAAAGGGGGAGGGGTGGGGCGGGGAGGGGAGGGGTGCTCAAGAGGAACTTCTATGTATTCAGCTTTTTTTTCATTGCTCAAGGGTAAAGCTGTGATTCTTGGAACCACGCCCCCGGGAAAAAACGTGAGTGAAACTTGTTTTTGCCCAAGACGTAGACAAAATTGGCATATCAGTGTCCAATTGGTGGTTTGGAGCCCGTTTAAAGAATAGGGAGTGGTTTCCCGTTTAAGGAGTGGTTTCTCATTTACCCTCTACAAGAACCAGGGAATGCCGGTTTGTGTTTTTGAGAGTCCCATCTTCAAAATTGTTTTTTAAGGGAAGGCAATAGAAAACGCACGGTTTTGGGAGAACACCTATTTTGACACGAACCCGTGCTTCCGCCTTCATCACCCCACTGAAAAATATATATCATAAATCAAGTTGGCAACCAAACACTTTAAAACCGAAGGGGGAGGCATAGGAAAACCTTCTTCCTGAGCGGATAAGCCAAACGGGTCCAAAACTTTATAGATTTTTCCACTAGCAGGATTTTCTTTAAAAGTGACTAAAGTCAAGCAAAGCGAAAAGTGAGACAGAAAGAGCCCGAGGGTCTGGCACAAGGGAGACCAGAAACTCCAACACCAATGTTCTGCCTTGGTTCGATCATCTATTTCTCGGAGCAACCTGGACTGTTTGGGGGCATCTGGCAAAATCGAAGCCCAAAAAAAACATGTGGTTCACGCCCGCGTTTTCACAATTGTGGACCCGGTTTGGAGGTTTAGGTATTTCCTCCTCCCAGAAAGTGGCCCCAGAGCTTTCGACAAACTTTCTACCTGGTTTTCCTTCTAGAGGCTCGGCACATCCAGGGTAAAAGCAAGCTGTCTGCCGCGCGCAACCCGGGTAGCCCAGAACCGCGGTTGGAAAAGGGGCTGACCCCACTTACCCCAGAGAATCATGGCAACCTGCCAAGTTGGTGGAACATTCAAGGTGAGTTTCCCCGTTTTGGACCTGCTTTTGCCGCAGAGCCCCGTCAACGCCACGGGAGCACAGTTTGCCCAATGTTGCTGGCAGCTTGGCTAAGGTGCCCTACGGGCACGGCGGGTCTGGAGTCTGGGTACAGACATCGTATGAGCCTTAGGGTGGGAAACGGGCGGATGATTTTGTTGGCTGGTGAAACCTACCACCTGGATTGCCAGTTGCTGTTTTTTTTCCATGAACTTTACCCCAAAAACCAGCAACAGTGACTGAAAAAAGCAGCAACTTGGCTATCTAGGCATTTGCTTTACTTTGTCAAGCTTTGTTGACCCCTGCTTCGCCCAAACTCCCAAACTCCAGCCCTTCAATTTTGGTGGGCCTTCGACGCGGGCAAGGAAAAGGTCCCAGGGGCGGGGTTCAAGGGGTCCGGTTTTGCCCTGAGCTGCCTCGTCCTTCTCGGGGATGCTGAACTTGGCGAAGTAGCCTCCGGAAAAATCGATCAATCCGTCGAAGGGAGGTCTTTGCACGACACCCTCAACTACTTGGTTGGTCGGCCGAATGAGTAAGTTGATGGTGGCCTAGGTGACAACACACTTGAACGCCCCCCCCCCACCCCCACCTGAATGGAGATAACCCTGTTATCACCAGGTTATATGCCAGGTGGCTGACCACTTACGAACTGCGCCGAAAATCCAGGTAGAATCCCCAAACCTGAATCCGGGACCCGCAGCGCCAGGACCCACAAATCACACAAAAGATACACTTTCCCCTGGCCCAGGAGGTTCAAAACTAGCCGGGGACTAGGAACCCTCGGAGGAACCCGGGCAGCGCGAGCCCCGGTCTCCGGAATGCAGCGGCTTGAGATCTTCAAGGAGGCCAGGCTGTGAATTCCAGCCCTTAGTCCCTGAGATTCTTCGGACCGAACGGAATCCCTTGTACACAAAACCCGGCCGGGTGGAATCTTCAAGCGGAAGGTAAGGGCGGCCGTGCCTCACTCTGAGCAGACTGGCAAAGCAAACAAACACGTCCGAACTTGCTCAACGCCCAAACGGGTCCAAACCCAAAAAGTGACGAAAGCCCCTTTAACGGAGCTCGGGGTCTGAGACGTCCCCAGGGGAAAAATGAAAAAATACGTTCAGTAGTGAAATCGCTTCCCTTAAAACCAACAGGGGGAAAAAAAAAGGATATGCGTTTCAACAAATGGGGGTTGATCAAAAGGTCCGTTACAGGGACCATTGGGGAAAACCACTAGAAAGATGATATGTCAACCACCAAACGGGAAAAAGTCAACCATGGCCATTTGGCAGCCAAAGGGACTATTGATCAACCCCCAACTGGAAGCTTCTTCGGCTCAGCTGCCGGTCTCATCTGCTTCGATCCCCGCCTCCAAGGGTCCAGGTGCTGAGGTCCCCCACGGGCTTCTTCAGGAACCACTTCGCCTGCATTCCAAGTTGCCCGATTTGGTTGCAGTAAAGACCATATTCTAGGGGTTGATTCCCCATTATTTTAAACCATCGTTCTTTTCAAAAACCAGATGTTTCCCCTGGGTTTTTGATGGTTTCCTGAAAAGAAGGATCCCTGGAAAGAATGGGGACGGTACCCCTAGAACAATGCTTGAAACCCAAATTTGTTTTCAAAGTGACAAAAAGCGGCACATGTTCCGGATCTTTAAACCCACCCCCTCGCCCTTCCCACCAAACAAACATTTTAAAAAAGACTACAAATAATAATAATAATAATACTAATATTAATAATAGAAAAATAATAATAACGATGACACTATTTATTTTACTAGTAGTAATATTGATGATGAAAACAATAACAAGGAAAATAATAACAATAATCGCAATACATATATATATATATATACATATACATATATATGCATATGCAATAATCACACACACTCTCTCTCTCTATATAAATATATATTGACATATTCGAAACCCGTCCTCCAGGAGCCAAACGCAACTCCACCCCCCAAACAAATATCTCTCTCGCCTTGTCCTCCTCGGTCAGCTCCGCCACCGGACAGGGCTCCTCTGGTTCCGGCTCCTCCTCCTTCACCTCCTGACGGATGGCAAATCCCTGGGCACCGCCGAAGGAAGCCATGGGTTGGTTGGGGATTTTGCGTGGGCGTCACCAGAAGTCTGGCCCCGGAACTTTACCATGGAGTTGAAACCATTGGGTTTCTGGGGGGATGCTTGCATGGGAGTCACCAAAAATTGAGCAGACTCACCAAACCAGAGGGGGCACCATTTGGTTAAGACCTCTCAAAAAGCATGATAAACTATTTCCAGTATAGTGATAACTCCTAATTACCAAAGGAAACAGTTGGCTGGTTGGAGATTTTACATGGGAGTCACCAGAGATCGAGTAGACTGGCCAAAAAAGTCCCGCGGAGGATTTACATGGGATTTCTGGAGGTGATTGTCACTACCTTCAACAGCTCACCTCCAAAGGAAACCCATAAAGTTGAAACCATTGGTTGGGATGTTACACCGGAGTCACCAGAGATCGAGCTGGCAAGGTCGCTGTATCGGTACTGGCTACGATACCGTGGCGGCGTGGCCGCAGCCTATGGAGTGTTTCGCAAGCTCTTGGACTCCACAGGTTTTCGTTTTTCTTCTCAATGGGGCAGCTGCTGGGATCATCGCTGTCATAGGTGGGGTGGGGAGGGGTGGGGTGGGGAGGGGTGAGGTGGGGTGGGGAGGGGTGGGGAGGGGTGAGGTTGGGGAAGACCGATCCTTGCTACCAGGTGGTGGCCCATGGCCGCTACGTTCTCTCTATTTGGGGGAGTGCAATGCTGCAATGCTGCAAGGCCAAAACTGCCATCGTCACAAATGCTCAGCTTACCGATGGGCGCCTTCGCGTGCTTGATGATATTGGGTATGGAGGGCATGTCGTGTGTGCTCGCATAGACTGGCCAAAACAGTCCGGAAACTGTTTGTTTGCCATTTGTCGGGATTTTACATTGGAGTCACCAGAAACCAGCATTCCTGTCAGTGAGTGAGATGGTCAAGGTTCGCTCAGGAATCATTACAGTTGTTGAGGATCGTTCTAATTGCCAGGATCACTGTCCATGGTAACTGCAAGGATTCTTTTGACCGCGGCACATATGTCTCAAAAATGAGGCAATTGTTGCTTGCCCATGAAGGGCATTGTGCCGCCCTGGCATATGAGGCCCGAAAGAGGACGGCCAGGTCCAGACTAATCCGCGGGACAGGAAGACCTTCCAAACTTTGGCTTTCCAGGTATCGTCGACCTTAAGTGGGGGGGGGCCTGGGGGGGGGGTTATAACTCATGTTGCCCCATTGGTGAGGACAAGCACAGAAACCACTCACCTCGGCAGACTAATCCGAGACCAAAATCTCGTCAACCTTGAGAGGGGGGGTTATTAATCACATTGCACAAGTTTAACCTGGACTTGGCAACCAATGAAGGCTTCATCCATCCTGATTTCCCATTCATACCATGAGAACATGTTCCATCCGCGTCCCGGCGGATTCCAAGACCCGGAGCTTCTGGGTCTCCGCACCGTCTCGAAGGCTTCCCGCTTCCCGCAAAATGAGAACTGCCTCCCCTGATTTGTTTTTTTGACTTAGCGGCCTTCAGGAAAATCGATCGTGAAGAAGGCGAAAGGATGAACCCATGCTTTGGGTCCTTCGGCTCCATGGGTTCGTCCTTCACCTCTGGCTTCTCCTCCTTGACTTCCGACTTCTCGTCCTTGACCTCCGCCTTCGGCTCTTCTGCGTCGGCCCTGTCGATCAATGGACTGGTGTCTGTTGAAACGATCGCCAGGTTCGGAGGTCCAAAACGGGAAATGGAGGACACCCTGGTTCAAGGAAAACCGTGCCACCCACCTTGTTTACTCAAGTCCTGGATGTAAACGACACCCCACCTCCCTCTGCACACAAGGCAACATCATTGCTGGCAATAGATTCTGGTGAAGACAAAGGGGATGATAAGCAGCAAGAAATTTGGGGAGCTAACGAGCTAAAAAGCTAACATGCACAACTACGCCCCAAATCATTGGTTAGACTATTCTTTCTTTCGGCCGAGGTCAGCCTCTTGATGTCTTTCTTCCTGTGCTTCATTTTGCCCTGGGGGGCATTTTCCCTACGGGCCAAGAGGATCCCTCAACTTTTTTTTCCGGTTGGTCTAACCTGCCCAAAATCCACGTGCCGGTTCACGGGCCCTGAAGCATTGTGAGAGATAACTCTTGTCACGTTGCGAAAGTGATGCTCCCATCCAGGACTTATCACCGGAGTTGGCTCGCATCATTTTTCGACTGGTGGCAACCCCACGCCCCATAGGTGTCCTTTTTCGTTTATAAATAAATGGCCCTGGTAGACTATTGAACCACCAAGTAAACCAGGGCCCTCTACTTTTTCAGCCCAACCAACCAAAAAGGACATCTATGTGGGTTTGTCTTTCTTGAGGGTACCCCGTTGCTTGTGGTTTTGAAAGGGCCAAAAGGAGAACCACCATGTTCAGCCAAACCAAAAAGGACACCTATGCCGAGCCCGATTTCAAAAAGGACCCATTCCCAGGGATCCGGATGCATACACCTTGCCAGAAGTAAATGGTGGCGCCCAGCTTTTTTTCGGTGTTGAAAAAGCCGCATGCTTCGAAGGGTGGCAAAAAATGGATCCATCTTCTTCTTTTTTTTCGGAGCCCTGATTCCCTTCACGTCAGCCAGCCAGAAGCAGCCCGAGCGGCGGCTCCATCTTCACATCCTTCGCCTCCTCTCCCTCCTTGGGCGCTTCCTCAGCACTGGCGTGTCGCCCAAATGAGCTGCCCAAAAGGTACGGTGGATGCCCTACATATTGCAAGCAAGCCAGCCACAAACCATGGGAATTTACAGGGTTTCCTTTGTTCCTTACTTGCAATATTTAGGGCACCCACCGTAAGTTCCAAAGCCCTCTACTCCTTTGCGGATTGATTGACATTTATGTTTTCTTAAGGGATCCTGACCCACCCACACGGAACTCAAAGAATCCGTTTGCCAACTGTATGTTCCGGAACCTGCTCACGTGAGTTGTTGAAAAAGGATTTGCAGAGTTGGATGTCGTTGGCCCAGGAATCAGATACAAGTAGCAGCTGAAAGGCTTTTCAAGTACCACGCGCGCGTTCAATTGACCCTTGGGGTTTCAGAAATATTCAGGTGCCATGGGGGGTTCTCAAAATAGGGGACCCCTTTTTGGACGGTGTTAATAGGACACCACAAAGAACCCACCTACCTGGAGGCATCGGTTCCCAATTCAGGTGGCTGCAAAAGGTCAGACCCAAACTTCGCGCTCCGCTGGGCTTATTTTGGGTCAAAGGCAGCGGCGTTCCAAGCGGCCACACGGCCAGTCCAGGCGTTAACTCCACCCTGGGGTTCAACCCCCATTCAAAGAAAGGCTGACCCAATTTGGATGACGACAATCCTTAGGTAAACCATGGTGGTCATATGAGCCCCCATTGTTTTAATGGTGGTTTGAATCCCAGGGCCCAGGGTACATTTCCTGTCTGATTCCCCCGAAATGCTTCATTCCCCATGGTCTCACATGATCGGTAAGCTCGGGACTCGGTTTCCTCGTTCCCTCACTGTACTTGCAATACAGCGGGGGGGGGGGGGGGGCGTCCACAGCTGTCAGCTGGGAGGGGGCCGGCTGATCAAACCCAGATGGCCTCTACACCAGGCGCTGCTTCTTGATGGCCAAAAAACGTTGGCGTTTTTCCCCCCAGTGCTCCTCCATTTGCTTAAGCCCCCTGGAAAAAATAAAAGAATTCCAGTAGTGATAGATTCCCCTGCAAAACCAACTGGGGGAAATAAACAATATTCTTAGCCAAATGGAAGTGCAGAAGAGAAACAAAGGGAAGCCCAACATTATTTTGCGGCTGCCAAGTTTGCAATGTTTACCTCATTTTGAGACACTTGTTTGTTTTTTTTCTTTTTTTTTCGTCCATGGCTCGGTACTTTCGCCCGCTGCTGCCCTGGCCTCCGCCTGCGCTTCAATGGGGAAGATGCGACAACGCATGAAAACTCCCGCACCTTACAAATTAAGAAACTGGAATCCAGGCCTATTAGATGTGACATCCTCAAAATTGCCCTCTGAATCGTTCAAAGGAAACACACAGTTTGTGAGAACCCTCCGAATGCCTCGTCATTTTGATGGGCTTAGGAAAAAAAATGGCAACCATGGCTGCTCATGTTTTGATGACTCTTCGCTGGGCTCCTAGGCACACCCTCTCATGAGCAGCCCTGTTTAAAGATGAACAGACAAACGATAAGTCCTTGGGCACACGTGCAACAGCTGAGTGTTTGTTGGGAAAATAAGATAGCACTGGCACATGGTCAGAGCCTGACTCAAACCCAACGGAATCCCAATAAATTGACGGACCCTACTCATCAAGGGTTAATTCATCCTAGCTCCCATGTGCTAGACTTCGGTTTCAGTTGGGTGCCATGGTTTTGCGGTTAAGTGATTCATAATAACTTAACCTGGTATTACCCAGAACCATGTAAAGAATCAAAAGGCGGTAAAGGCACACATTTCTGGTCGGGACTAAGTGACCATCCTTTGCTAACCTTCATCTAATTACAAGGAAAGAGGGAAAGCCCGAAGTGACCGATATTTACTAGAGGTTTCTAGTTGAAGGTTTCTAGTTGAGTGTTTGGCTTGCTTAACCGAAAAAGAAACGCAACCACCGTGGCTACTTTACAACTTTCAAGAAAGGTGTCAAAGCCAAATGTCAACACAGATCTGTTCAATCTGAATCTGGGAGGATTGTTGAATCGACCCATCAACCCCGCATAAAGATGATTGACTCGCTTCCAAAAAACAACACGTCCAACTTGCTGTTTGCCACTAAAACTGTATGTCCAAAAAATCGATTATCCAGGATATCAGGCAGTGGGTACAGCGATGTATTGCCAAACCAACCCTCCCCCGTTCTTTTCTGGCCTCCGCAGCTGCGGCCGCTTCTGCCTCCGCGGCGGCCCGCTCGCGCTCCAGCTCCTGCGCGACTTTGGCAGGGCGACCCGGCGTCCCCGAAATTGGTCAGGAATTGTCCCTCCATGAGTTGCAACCTACTGGTAGTTTCCATTGAAACTGCCACTTTTTGCAGGATCCAAAAAGGACATGAAACCCTGTTGGTTGCTTGGAGCCCGCTGGTTTGCGTTCCGGGTGGTTTTTGCATACCCTCTAGGGGTTCAAATTCCTAAACCCCAATCCAAACCACCAACAGGTTGCCTGATTTCGGCATTCCCTTTGTTCAAACGAAGTGAGAAACAAAAAGTCTCACAAAAACAAAGTCCCAAATTGGGGCGAATCGTTGCACCCTTGCTCGGGCTTTGAAGGCAAACCGACAGAAGTTATCCACCTTGAGGGTCCGCATTTTACGACAACCCAACGAATGCGCGAAATGGCACACGGGAGGCACGACCCCTGCCACAGGATTGCTGGTCGTTTGTGGGAGGAGCAAAAACCATCTTGCTCCTGGAGAGAAGCCGTCAGCTACCAAACCAGCAGCCCAACAAATGCTCAAAACTGAAGACTTCTTGCTCGGTGGAGCAGGGCCCCCCCATTTTGGAAAAGACATGCCTTCCACTGGTTCCGTGCGTTCGGCCAAGTAAGCTGTTGGTACCCTATCTTGGGTTCACCCTGAGAATGGGCTATAATTTCAAGTGGGATTGCCCCGTCTTTTGGGGCCCTAAAAAAAGAGGGGGGGCCATAAGGACCTATGCCGGCAACCCGGTCCTCAAGCTTCTTCTTGGCCTCCTCCTCGGCCCTCTTTTTGGCCTAGCCAAGGCAAGGTACTTGCTCGAAGCGGCGGGCCGTTAGTGTTTGTCGCAGTTCCTGATTTCCGCCCTCTTGTGGGGGGAGGGCCTGCATTTGGTGGACTTTAAACCCTTGTTTGGTTGAGGTGGAGGGAGGTTTGCACAAACCCAAAATTCACCCTGCTTTTGCGAAGTCCTTTTTGCAAAAAAATGATCACCTCTCACTTCTCACTTGCAACCAAGGAGGGCTTCAAATCCGAAATTCCAAACCATCTGAGGGGTACCTGACATCGAGCACGCCGAACAGCCCAATGCCAGGTCCTCCAGTAGAGAGGTTAGAATAAGATGGTACCTTTTTCTTCTGTAGTCTATTTTTGTAGGGGGTTTCCTCCCAACCAAAAAAAGAGGCTAGAATAAGTTGGTACCATATTTTTTCCTCTAGTCTATTTTAGTAGGGGGTTCACCCTCCCTAGCTGGGGGATCTAGCAACGGGAATCCCCCACCAAAAACGCGCCTCCTCCAGCTCGCGCTGGCGCTTCCGCACCAGCCGCTCCTGGGGTTTTGGGCGGAGGTGCAACGACAACTTCAATCGCTCAAGCAACGCAACCCGTTCTGGGGCGCTGCTTTGTTGCACACCTTTATCAGTATATAGTGTGTATATATATATATACAGTATATATATATATATGTTTTATGATTGGTTTTATGTATATATACATACTGAATCATGTGTATATATATCTATATATATATAATTATTTGTACATATATTGATAAACATGAAATACTGGGCGATGTTTGAAACCACCATTGCATATTTGACACCGAAACTACCCGATCCTATTTGCAAGTAAACGAACCGCACACGCATGCCCGAGAAACTACGGGAATTTAGGGACTCGGTTTTCCTGGTTGCCTTACAACTTGGCAGGCTCATCCTCCGGCTCTTGCCAAACGGGGCTCGATGCCCCAAACCAAAATCGCAGAGCTGCATTGGGGGTTGGACACTTTTGCCAGATTTGCGCGAAGACTTCCATGCCATTTAGGAAGATGGTGAGGACTCTTTGGTGGAGATCACTTGCATAGGGGTTCATGTTAGATGCGCCCTGGGTAATTCAGAGACCCTTGAGCTTCTGACTGCAACCGATAATGTACACGGCATACAGTATCTCACATTCTGAGCGGATGGCACTTCTTGTTTGCCACCAAACATGATCTTCCGCAAAAGTAGCGCAAGTCCAATAAATCCACGAATTCAGGGAGTGAGGTATATATGTTTCTTTGTTTTTGGGCTCGTTATCTAGGATCCGTGCCGTTTCCAGGGGGTTCATCGGGCTTTCAGGGCCTCGCCTGTTGGAAGCCTGGCAGTGACCGGGTTTCCCCAGATCGATTGGGATCCAATGACCCGCACCTCGAAGTCGGCTGCGTCACTTTCTCGGAGCTCGAAGCTCGGAACCACCAACTAAGGGTTATGTATGTAATATATATATATATATATGTGTGTGTGTGTGTGTCTATGTGTTAGGGTAGACCAACTGGTGATGTGAACAACTTGTTAAAATTAGGGCAGTCTTATCATTTTCATTCCATTTGTCACTGGAGCATTTCTGTCCGTGGGGCATACCAAACATCCGCTCGGTGCGGTCCGTCCCTGAAAGCTGTTGCGACGACGAATGGGTGAAAACACCTTCTTTTCATCGGGTCCTGACCCCCTCCCACAGAAGGCAAGTGAAGATCTTTGGGGCCAACATGGGCCAACTTGAAGGGAAGCGGTCGGCACCCGATGATCACAGGGTTGTCTCCACTCACTTGCCCGTGGGTTATCGCACCATTACCAAGTTACTAGCTTGGCAACGACCCAAGTGCTCAGTCAGTTGGGTCTCAATGCTTCTGACCTGACCTATTTATGGTCTTATGGTTGTCAGCGGCCGCCTCTGCCACCCCAAATGGATTTCAAGCAGTGCTGCAGTTGCGTGGCTCTAAGTCCCTCTAAGGTCATGGGTAACTGACCTACGTAAGCGGTTGTAAGTTGTAAGTCACCCAAGTGAGATACCCCGGGCTGAGCTGGTTGAGCTTGTTTTCACCGCGTCCTGCTCCTTCTCCATCTTCCGTCTCTTCCAGTCGATGGTTGCCTTCAGGGTTTGGATGTCAAAACCGACAGGCCGCTTCAAGACCTAAATCAGCCTGAAGTCATTTTCGTGTGTCGTAGAATTCAGGAACCTCCCATGGTTTTCCGTTGGCCTCCCATAGAACCAACCGTCTAAGAGGACACTCCGGCCAATTCAAGCACCTTCTCAAGGCTGCAAACCAGGGCCCCAAGAGGGAAGTGAGTTGACATGCAACCTAAACAAATCGCCCCTTGGTTTCCAAACCAACCTGGAACCGCAAGGGATCCCCCCAACAGGAGACTCCTCTACAAAGGTTCACCTTTTGGAATTCCATGGTAACCAGCCCTGTTCACCTTTGACCAGTAGTCCGGATGACCTAAACGCACTTCCTGAGTAGACTGGCCCCAAAAAGTCCAGAATGTCCAGACTGATTGTTTACCACTAAAATGGTCTTCCCAAAAAGCATAAATTCCAGGAAGTCCAAGAGTGAGCAAATACGTATTTGACCCGTGGCTTTTCGCGAGTTTGACGGTGTGTTGGCCAAGACTCGGAACATCGGGAAATCGCCGATTTCCCGATTTCCCCACATGAGAAGCAAAGCGTGCGGGGCCTTCTCCTGCTTCTCTTGCAGCAGCGCCTGGTGGACCTGAACCGGCGGAAACCCGCCAGATTCTTGGGCGTGCCTCTCATGTGGACCTCATATCTGGGCTGTCCATTTTCGGATCCCAAAACTAAATGTGTAACCTTTAGTGGGCAACCTTTTGGTGGGTTAAATGGAAACCCCCACTAAACACTAAAAAGCTAAAAGGCTAATGGCTGGGAGCCAGCAAGATATGAGGCAATCCCCTTCTGTGTGGCCTGTTTTCTTGGAGATTCGCATATTGCGGCTCTTTTCTCATCTGGCTTTTGGCTTGCTGGAGCTGTCTTGCCTGCCTATGAATCAACCAACCAGTTTATTCATAGAGGGGCGGGTTTTGGCCCCTCCCAAAGTGGCCTGCTTCCCCCACATTTCACCCAGAGACCCCCCCCTATTAATAAACTGGGGGTTGATCAATATGGGGTCAACATTAGAGGTACACCCTGGTTCTCCTTTCGTTGCTGGAAGCACCGGGTTTGTTGTTCGAGTTCGAATTCCACGTGTGGGATCCAAACCCCCTTCTACACACAAGATGACTTGGTTTCCAACACAGACTTGAGTGAAAGGGGTCAGGGATACACCTGGCATACCTGGAATTTGCGCTGCGGTCCCATTCTCGCACGTGCACCACGTTGACAATTCCGCTGCCCCGACTGCCGCCGTTCATTCATTCAGTTCCCACTCTAATCTGGGACCCTTGGCTTTCCCAGCATCATCAAAGAGCACAATGTCAAGGCGATCCCTTGAGAAAGGGGAATCCACCTTTGGATTTCAGGCGACCTTACACAGGTTCCATGAGCGGGTTCCGAATTGCTTACACAAAAGGGCAATCACGTGTATAGCATCCGAGTTTGGAATCCATTTTCTAGAGCCCAGTCAACGCGTCATCCAAGACTTCCCTTGAGTTCGCAAACGCAGCCGCCCCAGAAAGGGACCCAGAAATACAAGGTTGACCTTTTGGCAAGACTCAAAATGGTTTCCAAAAAGGGGAAACCAAACAGTGAGATCCGGTCGATTCGCTTCAGGCCAGCGGTCAGCTGAAATTTCATGCCAGGCCGGCCTTTGCCTTGAAGTCCTGAGGAGGCTCACCCATGACCACCTGTGGCGTGTCCAACCAAATCGGACAGGCGATTTTTGTCCTGCGGCTTCCGGTGAGACACCAAGCCCTTTAAAAGGGTACCCTCCAAAAAACAGGATTTCAAGTGGTGTTTGGGCGTGTTGACGTGTTTTCCATGGCATGGTTGTTTTAAGTGTCTGTTGTGTTGTGGTGTCTGTCTGTCTCCAAATGCTTGGTGTTCATGTGGATGTTCCTTCAAACCATCCCAAAAGGACATTTCCTGTAACAGGGAGGCCCCCATGCCTAAAACTATGGCTACAAATCCTGAAAGGGCGAAAAAAAAACCATCGCAAATTTCAGCGCGTCTCACAAACCAACCCCACCTATGGCCGACAAAAAGTGTAATGCTCCCACATCACGCCTTTGAAAGTAGGTTCCGGTGATTCTAAAGTAAGTGGCAAAAACTGCCAATAGCTTACTCGTACACATGGCGAAATGTGGCTTTAAAGTGCCCCACAACCCCATTTAAACTATTTAAAACACTAATGCTACAGTACATTGATCACTGCATTGGTGAATTCTTCTGATTCTTCATGGTGTGACAGGAAGTGGCGGGTTGGTGCGGCAAACCAAACCTGGGGCTGGGCGATCCGGGTCTCGCTGGTGTCAAGGGCATGCTTTTATCAC